TTTGACGATAAAGATTAAATTTGATGAGATGAATCTCGATTTTATTAAAGTCATTTATCGCAATATTCCAGGCCTATCTGATGTACCTGTACACGGGGATTATCACAAATATACAAGTACCGGGTCATTGCTACTATAGATCAAATACGTATTCATCTAATCTGTGGGAAGGTTTAAATCACATATAACCTGAGCTTTATACAGAAAAATTAACTAGATTTGCTTGTAAGTACGGTTAACTTTGATCCTCTAAAAATCCTAAAAAGAAAAAGCCCTAATCATTAAAATGTAGCTGAAGTGATTTCCTAAAAATGTTTATAGTCAAAGTTTGCTCCATGTTGTTGCCATGCATATGACTATACTTTCATTATTGTATTGTTTCAATGTTGAATATATATATATATTTTATTTGTGGTGAGGGATATCTTAAAAACTCGGAAAATGGGACGTGGTTTATGATCTTTAATATTAAGCAAATGCAAGAAACAACAGACTTATCGTTAGGATAAACTTATTTTTGAGGTTGGCGTGTTTTCGAGGTTTTAGGACATCTCATGATCTTACTAATGCGTTTCGAACTGACTACCTTATATTCTTTTTTGATGTTGAGATCTCCGTACTTTTGTGTTGTTTGGAAATGTTCAGCCATCATTTTAACTAGGATCAAAACCATTACGCCATTTGTAAACTGAAATGCAAATACATGTACTTACTTGAAAAGTGATTCCTGTTCCTTTTCCCGATAAGCAAAAAACACCTGATTGATTATATCCAATTTTAGGTATTGTCACGAAATTATAAAATCATTTTTCATTTGAAGAATCGTTGTGAATTAAGATATATATTTAGAAATATATATGACTGTCTGTTGGTAGCGTATTCCAAGCCTTCAGTGTATTTGTATAAACATCCAGTTATCATATCACCGCTGCTTCGCAACCACCGTTAGACCACGGGTTAACACGGGTATATCCCTCAGTCCATAACACCTCCAAGCCTAAGAAGATGTCCAGTCATGCGAGTCAACGTTCACACAATGTCGGCAATGGCATCACTCTAAAACGGAATTCATTTCGCGAAGCCACGACCGCTTTTAGCTGTTCAACTATTGAATACTGCTCAATAGAAAGGAGTATCATATCCAGCGGAGGGTATTGATATTGACTGTGTTAATCACTCCATAGGAGACGTGCTTATAGTTTACGGATTTACCATTACAGTTATATATATGGACGTTTTTTATTAGTTATTGGGTGTTGATGATTGGTTACTTCCTCATTTCTTCTCATTTAATATACTAAAATAAGCAGTACCGATAAAAGATTAATTATACAGACATTGGTATATAAAAATGTAGGAATCAAGAGGAACCGATGTATTGTCAGATAGTATCCGTGAAGTAAGTACAACATGTTGACAAAAATGTCCTAAAGGCCAGCCGTACAAGTTTACAGGATGTTCTATTAGTGGAATTCTCGTTATGATGCATGTTTCCTTTCAATATTCTTTTGTTAATAGGATATTCGTTGATTTCGTTTGTTAGTACTTGTCCGAATGTTCCTTACGATGGATATCAGTGTTACAAAATACAGAAGCAAGAAATGAAACATTTCACAAGAGTGTTTGTGAATTCGCGTGAGGCTTTCGTTTTATATAAGACTATTTTCATAGAATTTGATATCAAATTATTTTACTCAGAAAACATAAAATATTCATTGATACTTTTTTTTCAACAGTAAATTTTTTGTAAGACATATTCGTCATTAATAGACTCTAAAATAATAATGGCGATGTATTTATCAAACTTATTGATTTTTTTTTCTCATTAATTAATAGGAAATAATCAAGTAATTTGCAGAGACCTGGACGGTTCTCCCTGTGAGTATCCACGTACCAATGTTATGTATGCAGTTTCCTTTGGACAGTGATTATTATCAAGTGGGCCTCGCAGCCACCGAGCAAGCTTATCTACAGAATAACTAAACTTTAGTAGGGAGGCAAACATTAATATGATAAGGGTGTGCCAATTCTGGAGGGGCATGACCTTCAGGGTTCAGGCATATCTGCAAACCTCAGGTAAATATAGGTCCTGTTCTGGTGTAACGTCGTTTTGTCATTTTGCGCGTAATCAGTATATTTATAAATTTGGTTTTTGTAATTCTTAATGTGTTTCAGGTTATAAATAACATTGATAAGATATATCCACCATTTCTTATAATTGCCAGTTGTTGGAACGGTCATTTCAGACTATGTTAATTACTTCAATCAAAATTAAATAACTGTCGACAACTGCTATGTACTTGAAAAACGAATTTTATAGAGTATATTTAATTGTAAACAAGGCTTTCAATAAAATTTACTTTCTAATAACGATATCACGATGAAATGAGTTTATGAAATTTTATGAAATGAACCTAATGAAACGCTTAAGAAGTGTTTTTTTCGGCGTTGTGAATGTCTGATTGTTCTAGATAAAAAGAGTTGTCTCCCATAGATTCGGTAGTTTTAGGTTTAACTATAATTGATTAAATATTCAAAATGTCTAAGAAAAATGTGTGTGTATAGCACTTTCGATTATGATTGGTAACAGCTTACGCCAGAAATAGATAAAAATACTACATACAGTTTATCTAAAAAGGGGGAGTTACCGAAATCATAGAAATCACAATAGCCGCTTAAGATTCACTGCTGTAGGGTATTAAGGCTTTGTATAACTGACAGTCATTGACGCCATTTGTAAACACAAATTTGAATTACAGTGAGTGGAATGCAGAAGCCGAACTAGCCCAAGTGTTTCGAAGTTGAAGAATTATGATGGAAGACACTTGTTGGACTGAAATTCAGAAATATGTCAATGACCTACCAAATGCAGAAAGAGTGGAATTCAATAGGAAAAGTCATTAAAGAAATTTTAAAAACTATTTTCACATATCTTTTTATCACTTACTTCTTACGCTGATGCAATATTGGAAAGAGTACAAATCACATCTTTCTGTGCCCTCAGCATCACAGACGAGTCATAGTAGGACGTAAAGGCCGTATGATTCATTTTAAATATTTCTCTCTACTGTATCAATTCTAAATTTGTATTGAAAGATACTATCAGCTTAGGTTTTTTGTACAATCCTTTGAGAATTCATGTGGACATATGTTCACGAGATTTCCGACAACCTTCCATGGTTGGGTCTAATTCATTAGAATAGTGGTCTGGTTTGAACCATAAACATGTACATGTACTTGGCGTTTCAATATTGAAATCTAGGAGATTTACTGACTTATGGGTTAGTGCACTTCTCCACATAGGGACCAAATTAAATGTTCTTCAATTTTTTTCTAAGTTTCAACACTTAAGGTTCTTGGTGTCACTGGCTACATAGGGACGACATAACTGTATGATGCATTGAAAGGTACTGTCGTAGGTAGAGGACAAACATACTAAACTATTATTACCTTTTCATTCTTTTGTGTTCTTATATGCATATATTGTTGTATTTCTGTGCTTATTTTTTACAATAAAAATTCTTTTAATCGAATATACCGTATAGTTGGTAATTTTAGCGGGTTAAAATTTTCGCGATTTTCTTTTAAAATCATGTAATGGAGTTAAAAGTTTGCGATCTTGATGTTAATACATGTCATATACACGTGTCTCGTTACTTTACTAATTACATTTTCGTTACAGTACCGCAAAAATAAAGAAAATATCCTCACCGCAAAAATAAGCGGCTATACCGTTAGCTATTTTCATTAAAATTTTTATTAAATGGTCATCAGTACCTACAAGATAAGTCATTATTCAGGATTAGATATGTTGTTCTATACAGTTTATTTTACATTCTGTAACGAAATCAGTAAGCAGTAATGAAATAGGACAAACACTAGGCCCCAAAACACAAATATTGATACAGAATTTTGAAAATGCATGTATTTAATATGATTATGTGGACTTATAATACTTATTGCAATCCAGTAATAACGTACCATGAATTGATTGGTATGTAGGAAGAAACTATAATCACACCTACCAACTTCCTTATCATCAAGTAATCTAATTAAGTCGGCTCTCTTTCTGATGCATACATAATTTTCTGTCAGTATCAAATCAAACACCTCTTCAACCTCAAACATTATAACGAAACAAAGATCTAATTAAGTAACGACAAAACACAGCAAATTGTTTTTAACATGACTTTAAAAACATAAATTTTCATTGACATGATTTATGGCATATTTACAAATATGTATTAAATTATGCATGTACATATCGTTTTTCCGCATTCCTCTCTTTCACGTACATGTTTAAGCTTTCACCTCTCGACACAATCTCTCCTCCACATACAATACGATAATATAACGAGAATTTGTAGTTTTGACATTAAATGTATGAATATTTACTATACAGAAGCAAAGCAATGATTTCTTTCTAATGCGTAAATCATATAACACATTCACAAGTTGTTTCAAGTATATCAATAGATGACCACGATTATACTTCTGATACAAACACACATTATGTTTTCCACGTAGCAGGATATTGTGTTGAACCAAACTCTAAATGTTAAAGGCAGAGTTCCCACAGTGTAGTCCTATTTCTACATCGGTGTATGCCGTAGGATTCATTGTATATCTATATATACATATGTCCCGTCTCGGCATGGCATGCATGTAGCCGACATTTCTGACCCTGTCTAAGTATGGAAATGTCAGAATTCATTTATGGAAAGCACTTACAGTAAGCAACATTCTTTAAAGCTAAACATTTCTATTATGAGTAAAACGTTTTATTCGGTAGTTTGTAAAGATGTGTTCTCAGATCTTGTCCTCTTCGCAAACTTTGACATCCTTGTTCATTAAAATGCAGGAATCAAAGCAGGAATCATACTCAGTTCAAAGGTCACCTTAAGGGTAATCACGCAGTAAAACGCTGCAACACGACTAGTGTATAAATTAAAAACGTCCGTATATATTTTAAAATCTCTTGTTCGGTACATAGTTTAAATCTACACATCGAGTTTTTTATAGCAAATCACATTTACACCTGTTGTTGTTTTATTGGTTTCAATTCCATTTTGGATTGCGTTGGTCTGTTTCACGTCTTTCATTGGAACACTCGGGTCCTTCTGATTTTCAATTTTTTTATTCCTTTTTAGAAGGTAGCCTGCTAACACGATTCCACAGAGTCCAAATACACCCACACTAAGCCCTATTGCCAAAGCCTTTGTATTTGTACTACTGTTGTTCTCTGTAGATTTCTCATTGTTACTTTCATTGAATGTGATCTTGGTGGTCAGTGTATTATCTGGCGTAACAGTATCGGTCACTGTCAACTCAGCTGTTTCTGATTTTGTTACAGATGAAGTAACGACGCTTGGCATTTGTGATGACACAGTCTTCGAAAAAACTGATATCGTCTTTGTACTTGCAAGATTGGATGTTGAGGTCCTTCCTGAGCTTTGAATGCTAGAGTTTGGTAACGATGTTGAGGTAATTATTGGTGAAAGTGAAGAGAAAGTTACTGAATCGGATATAGGTGGCAATGTTGAAGACGCAGGCGCCGTTCTCAGCTGAGTTGACGATAGCGTGGATGCACTGACCGTGTGGGTTGTCTTTGTCGATTTTGATGGAGGTGGTACGGAAACTGTGGGTAGAAAAGCTATGTTTTCATCTGTGTTATTGGTTTTAGACCTTAAATTCGATTTGTAATCTTACATTGCTTTGATTAAAAGAAATCAGAATCGTTTTGATATTGAGCGTCGTTAGACAGTTTGTTGAGGCAAGGAATTAATATTATAAAAAAATTGTATAGCCTACGAAATCATCAATAACCCCCACACTCCACCGAGCTTTGTCTTCACTGTACTTCACAGTAATGTTAAACAACATGCACAACATAAAACAATCTTGATTTTGTGCGAAAGATGACACTGTCCAGAGATTAAGTAGTGTTACGACATTTAGATTCACAAACCAAAGTCTTATCCATAGAATGTATATATTATCTTTATACAAGACATAAGTTGCTGTGTCAGTGCTCTTTTATAACTAATGAATGCATGGACATGATTATCGAGATTTGTAGGTAATGTATAAAAGAAAAGAAAATTTACCCATTGAAGTTTCATAAACATATATTTCGTCTAATCCGACCGGTCCAAACGTATTAGATTTTTTCGATTGGAATACAAGCTGTAAACAGAGAAATTATCCATATACCGACATTTGAAAATATAGATTAAGCACAGAAAATTGGCAGTCTATTTAAACTGTGAAAAATGTGTGACAATGTTGATTGAGTTAAGTTTCTTATCAAGAAAATGAGTTATGTTTCCAAATCTGTAATACCAAATAATATTATATTCCTGGAACATTTCGTGTCATTTTCTTTGTTTCAAGAAGGAAAACGATTATAAATATACGCACCCTGTAGGTTGCTTTGGTTTTCACTGACAGTGAGACCGATTGCCATTCGGAATGTTCATGTCCATCTGTTGACCAAATCAATGATTTAGCACCGGAAATGAACTCAATCGAAACCTCTAAATTAGAAGACGAGGATGGATTTATGTACCAAAAGGTCAGACATATGTCTGGACCATTAAAGATAGGACTTTTTAGCTGTGCTGTGGATCCATGTGGTGTTGATACATCCGCCGTGTTAATGACGATATAAGGTCCTGAAATTTGAACAAAATATCTTTTGTACAATAAACACACAAGTGAATAGCACCTTTAAATACAACGTAGAGTTAGAGTCAGATATTGAATGAACTTAATATTACTGCTGTTTCGTCCTTCTCACACTCGCACGAGTATTATTTGCTATCCAGAATTGTGACATATATCAATATTAATAACTTACAACTTTTCTAATTATCTTTAACGAAATAATAATGTTGCTTGATGAAATGTGATTGATTAAATTTAATTTACATTTTTATCTATCAACACACCTGTTTTTCCTCCCGGAATGATGTGATAAGAATCGTTGTGTTGAATCCATTGCAGTTTGTCTCCGATTGAGGAATACGAACATACAGTCGAATCAAATGAGCAGGACATATTAGAAATGTCCTGCTCATCGTGGTCTCCACACACGTGACTGACCTCGAATGGCGGAGGAGGGAGTGTTGTTGTCGTTGGCGGAGGGGATGGTGTTGTTTTGGGGCCTACAATCACAACGGATTCATTTTCGAACATCTAGATTATTTTCCTCCATTTATATGAATATGACGGCTCTTTGTTTTTTAAAAACTAAAAGCTTGGACACTAAGTACTAAAAATATTGATTACGAGTATCCTTATTCAAGAAGAATCGTGTAATAATTTAAGTAATTTCCCTGCTCAACAATAAGTGATTAGATATACTAAAATGTTCCTATGTTCTTTACATACGTACATGGTGCATTTTCCAAAGCCATATCGTCGACTCCGATAACTGCTCCTGGTTCTCCGGCATAGGATCCTTTAATTTCTATCTATAAAGCAGTCAATACATTCCAGTTTTAAAGTATCATATCACACGTGTTAAACTACTCTTAAATCATTTAAGTAATTCACTTATAACTTGCATGGAATTTCAAAACTTCGTACTGAAATGATGATTGTGGGAGGAAATTGTCATTCTTATATATATGCCGCTGACGAACGTCAGAATAGTTCGGACGAATGGATTAACAGAGACATCTGAAGATTTATTTTCTTCACTGTAACTATGGATTTCTTTGAGGTTTTCGGTATACCTGGAAAGTCGTATCACTCTGTACATCGACCTGAAGACTTTGCCAATCTTGGCCGTAATATCCGCTGAGATGTTCCAATAACCGCAACTCTCCGGTCTGTACGTTTCTCTTATAAACGGTGATTGTACCACTGAGAGTACTTGGCATGATGTAGGCAAGGCGAAGGCAAGCACCTGTCTGTGCTTCCAAGGCCGGTGAAACTATCGACGCGACATCTCCGCGGTGTGCCTCGGCGCCATTGGCTCGAAGTGACAGAAACGAACCTGTTCAACAAATTTTTAACAAGCTTCACATTACGTTAGAAAAACGAGATATGCTCAAACTAATTCAATTAAAACAGAAATGTGAATTTCCTATAAATAACCTTACTGATGTAATTCTTTCCCGGCAAGATTGCGAACTATCTTGATTAAATATGTTTGAAAAACAAGCAAATTTGCAGCCAACATAACTTTACAAGAAATAAAACATATCATACAATTAAATTCTTCCCTTATTCAGTGTAGTTCGTACACGGAATGTTGATCTGTTTGGGTTTTTTTAGCTGCCACTTCATAGCACTACAATAGCACAACCAAGAGTGTAGCTGTAAGCCAACATATTTTTTGAGAGGTTAGGAGCCAGTGTTGACGAGAAGTCAAGTTGAAATCGCACTGGAAATAAACGATTTACGTTCGTCGATATTCCATATTATGAAATCAAACAAAAACTCAATGTTTCCGTGTGTGAAAATACTGACCTCTGATAGAGAAAAACTGTTTGCACCCAGCCAGAAAATTGACCTATATTTTTGAGCGTTAAGTCAAGAAATAAAATTGTTTTATGCATTTATGATGTTATAGTGAATGTGATTCACAGTTAGGTTATTATCATGAATTATGAATATCAAAGAGGATGTTGACGTCGCATTATCAGTTTAGCACACTTATGCTTGCTTATAATTTATCATCGCTTGTATGCTGACAAGCGTTCATGTATGTTGACGACGTGTAGTATATGCTCTGCTGTTTTTTCCTTGCATTGGAAAATATTTTTGTTATAGTTTTGTGACGTGTAGTATATGCTCTGCTGTTTTTTTCTTGCATTGGAAAATATTTGTGTTATAGTTTTGTAATGCTGATGATTAAGTGATCTAACTGTATTTTCCCCATTCGTGTTTACGCTGTATTGCGTGTATATATTTCGTTCTTTTCCAGAATGATTTCTGTAGTTGCTGATGTCGGTTAAAATGCATGTGTAATATTCATCTATGAGTCGGTATGGTTTATGTACAGTATGTTTTCTTCGTTGCCGTTGTTTTATAAGTTGTCTTCTTGTTTGGTATATACTAGGTGTTGTGTATCTTCCCTGCTTTTTACTGTAAAAGCATAATTATGTCTTCGTTACTATGTAGAAATCGTATTTTCCATTTCAGTTGCTAACTACCTGATCCCGTCGTGTTGTCTCCAATGACGTACACACGGCTGAGAACAGTCAGTGGACTCGGTGTTCTCTCCCACATAACGTAGCCAGGATCTGAAGACGGTGGGTAAAACCCACACATATCCGCCTCAAAGTCACATGATATCGGAAGGGACACGGGGGACAGCTGCGTGGTGGTCGGAGCAGCCGTTGTCGTTGTCAAGGTAACTGAATTGCAATTGAAAGAAAACCAACAATAGTAGGATTAGGTTATGCAATATTTGTTTATATGAGCTTGCGGGTGCAAAAAGGTTATGGTTACTAAGGTATACCTCTATACTATCATAATCATACAACTGCAAAGGTTTTAAATGTTATACAAAGGACACACCAGTGAAAGGATTAAACTGCAGTATACAGTTCTGCTTTGTTATATGACTCGTCAGTGATGCTTAAACATTTTCATCAACTTTAACAGATTGTTATACAAATGTATATTCGAAACACACGTATCAGTCGATATAACTGTACATAAAACTTACTGTTGGTGAGAATGGTGTCGTCGATAGCCAGGTCGCTCAGATAGTGGTACTTGGTACTGGCTTCGAACACTAACTGGTAAATAGACATGAAGGGTTCATACTCAATCTGATTTTACATTTCATTTTCAAAACGACTGGTGATTTGTTTGACAAAAAATTTTCATTTATCTTCATAAAACGATCATACTCTAAAATTGCTTTTTTTAAATTACTTTAAAACCTGAAAACAATCTTACCATAGATAATATCGTTCAGTTGTAGTGACCATTTTAGTTCTACCACAAACCAAAATCTACATCCATGTAGCTAAAAGCTTCTATTAAAGTTATATTAGCAATGTAAAGAGGGTGAATCGAAATACATTACAGTTGCGTATTGATATAAAATATCAAGTCTCACCGTGTACGAGCCAGAAGTGAGTTCCATGACTGCCTGTGTCCAGTCTGGCCCCTGACGGCCAGTACGTGACCACACCTTCTGCCTCACATTACCAGATGATATCTGGAAGACACTGAGGGACCCAACACCTATACCATTCATTATAAACCAAAAGGAAAACTGCAGAGGTACTTCCGACTCAATAGTGTTACTCTCGAGTACAGCTTTCCATGTGCTCCTCCGAGCCTCAGATCCCCGGATGTAGGCATATCTTCCATCTAAATAGAATTCAGGTTTTCTTTTTAAATTCGTTTTGGAATTATAAAATTAGGTTGACCTTTCGAGAACAAAAAAAAAAGTTGTATACCAAACATATTTACATTTGGATGAAACCATTCTAATGTCAAAAACATGAAGAACGAGAAGATGAATTTTGTTTTTTGAATCCTCTCACTTTTTTAATTTTAAAGCATATTTGCGTGTGCATATGCAATGTTTTCATGTGAATTAAAAATCTTTGTAAATTCAGCATCGTAAAAGTAGTAAAGACATACTGCCAGTGGTATGATCCGATCTAGGAGCAGATAACTCTTGTGTCCCGTTGCTGTTGCCAATGTGCCAGTTGAAGTCGCTATCTTTACCTACATGCCATGTGCAGGAACCGTTTTCGAAAGTACAGTTGATATCGGAATCATTTCCTGTAATGAAATCAAAAGATATTGGCATCATAACGTATATATACTTACTGATTTAGAAAATGAAATTTGTTTAAGATACATGTGCGGTACAGTACAGTGCCATACAGTCCATTAACATTGCTTCTGCTTCTGCACATTTACTAACTGTAGTCGTGGATTCATCAAGATAGTAGGCCCAAGCGATAAAGGAAACAAATAATAATATTATAGTAATACTACCTCCGACGTTGGCTTTATCACAATAAAATAATATGTATAATTTTTCGTTTGGATATGAATACGAAGAATGACAGAAAAGTTTCTCAAATGGCAATAGGTTCAACAAATACGATGCTTCCAAATTGTTAATCAGCACTATAGATAGCCTTTCATTGGTTATAAATGAGTAATTATGTCCCCTATTGTTGTCGAAATATGTTGAAATGGGAACGCTTTAATTAAACATTAGTTTTACAAAATTACCGTAGAACTCGTTTGGAATAGTCGCTGTTGTCATTTCATCAAGGAACATAACAGCAGTCGTCTGCTCACAATACAGGTGTTGGCTTTTGCTCCGTGTTTCATTGGTTGCCACAGAGTAAACATTGACGTCATCTAAGCCAGTCACGCGAGAACTGTCCTCTTTCTCCATTTTAAATATCACCTGTAAATTGAATACAGCTTTTTGTTTTTTCTCAAAATTCTTTAAGCTAACTTCAAAGTAATAAAGTGGAGCTTCTAACAATTTATGTTACAAAGGCCTTCTTTTAAAGAGCCAGACCCACTCCTCGACCGATATTATTTTATATAAAAAAAATTCATGATTTTCTATTTTTCTCGGGTAGCAAAAGTCCTGACTAAGCCTGTAATACCGCAATTTTAAAGTAAATTGTTACCAATCAAACGTAATAAATAGTTTAGAAAACAATTTCGAAACGACTCAGTGCTAATTCAGAATTATGCGGGAAGTCCTGACCTCTGACGCATGCACAAAGAACTGTAAATAAATCTGCCGTCTTCCAATATGGCAGAAAGCGTGCGAGGGAAGCGGGGAAGAAAATGTGTTTTGACGGACTCTGAGGCGAAAAGTAGGAAAACTGGTTCATACTTTGTATCGCTTTCTGTTTGGCTTTCTCGTGTTGTATTACTCTAAAATCATATTCATAAATACTCTTATCATCGAATATTCGCTTTAGATAGATCCATTTCGCGATGGTCTATATGTTCGTTACCGTATCGTAGCCCCCATTTGAGAGCCTCTTTGCAATTAATCGTAGTTTTTCACGTAATCTGCACGTTTTTGTGTCATATCTAAGCATTGGAAGATGTTATCAATACACACGTTAGGTGATGTCCATACAGGATATAGAGTATTGATTGCATTTATCGGTAAAATCTCTTTACAAGCGATGTCACATGGACGAATTACTCGCCTCTTACTCCATTTTTGTTTTGGTTCTGACCGCGTCTGAACGTATCACCTGACTTTTTCTCATCAATATTCATATCGTGGTGTTGATTAATGATACTAACTCCGGCACCGATATATCCGGTACCCTTTCAATTTCAAGTCCGAAACTTTATACAAGTCTTCATTTATATATTATCTATTAGCATACAACAACATTTCCAGTCAATAAAATATGAACAAACATCTATAACGGAATGGGTCTAGCTCTTTAAATGTCACTGTATACTTTTTGAAAATACGGATTTAAACATCTTATCAGGATGTAAGATAGGAATGTACCATCAATCACTCACCTTTGCCAAAAATTAAACCAACATATCACACAATTTTCAATAGATCACATATAGGAAATACCTTGTATTGAGTTTCCATGTGTAAGAGCAATGCTACATGCTTCCATGAATGAGATCCCGTGTGCCCTTGCCAAGCTATATTCCTGCGACCAGCTGGGCACTCTACGATAACCTGAAGACTGGATACGGAACTACCTCTTTCATCATACCAAAAGTCTAGGCAGAAAGCACCTGCCAATATCTCTGGCAGTGCCAATTCAAACGAAGCTCCTCTCAAAGCCCTCGATGAACCTGTGTTCGGTTGAATGAAGTACCCTGGAAACAATCAAACTTTCTAAACAAATGCCAACATTATGCTGATGTAGTGATAAAGCTACTGACAATCTCCCCATCACTGCTGATGGAGGGATCAAGCTACTGCCAAACACCCCATCACTGCTGATTGAAGGAACAAGCTACTGACAATCTCCCCATCACTGCTGATGGAGGGGTCAAGCTACTGACAAACTCCCCATCACTGCTGATGGAGGGATCAAGCTACCGACAATCTCCCCGTCACTGCTGATGGAGGGATCAAGCTACCGACAATCTCCCCACCACTGCTGATGGAGGGATCAAGCTACCGACAATCTCCCCGGCACTGCTGATGGAGGGATCAAGCTCCCCACCAATCTCTGGCCCAAACTCCCCGTCACTGCTGATGGAGGGATCAAGCTACTGACAATCTCCCCGTCACAGCTGATGGAGGGATCAAGCTACTGACAATCTCCCCGTCACTGCTGATGGAGGGATCAAGCTACTGACAATCTCCCCGTCACTGCTGATGGAGGGATCAAGCTACTGACAATCTCCCCATCACTGCTGATGGAGGGATCAAACTACTGACAATCTCCCCATCACTGCTGATGGAGGGATCAAGCTACTGACAATCTCCCCATCACTGCTGATGGAGGGATCAAACTACTGACAATCTCCCCACCACTGCTGACGGAGGGATCAAACTACTGACAATCTCCCCGTCACTGCTGATGGAGGGATCAAGCTACTGACAATCTCCCCGTCACTGCTGATGGAGGGATCAAGCTACTGACAATCTCCCCGTCACTGCTGATGGAGGGATCAAGCTACTGACAATCTCCCCATCACTGCTGATGGAGGGATCAAGCTACTGACAATCTCCCCGTCACTGCTGATGGAGGGATCAAGCTACTGACAGACTCCCTATCACTGCTGATTGAAGGAACAAGCTACTGACAATCTCCCCACTACTGCTGATGGAGGGATCAAGCTACTGACAATCTCCCCACCACTGCTGATGGAGGGATCAAGCTACTGACAATCTCCCCGTCACCGCTGATGGAGGGATCAAGCTACTGACAATCTCCCCACCACTGCTGATGGAGGGATCAAGCTACTGAAAATCTCCCCGTCACTGCTGATGGAGGGATCAAGCTACTGACAATCTCCCCACCACTGCTGATGGAGGGATCTGGCTACTGACAATCTCCCCGTCACTGCTGATGGAGGGATCAAGCTACTGACAATCTCCCCGTCACTGCTGATGGAGGGATCAAGCTACTGACAATCTCCCCATCACTGCTGATGGAGGGATCAAACTACTGACAATCTCCCCATCACTGCTGATGGAGGGATCAAGCTACTGACAATCTCCCCACCACTGCTGATGGAGGGATCAAACTACCGACAATCTCCCCACCACTGCTGATGGAGGGTCAAGCTACCGACAATCTCCCCACCACTGCTGATGGAGGGATCTGGCTACTGACAATCTCCCCGTCACTGCTGATGGAGGGATCAAGCTACTGACAATCTCCCCACCACTGCTGATGGAGGGATCAAGCTACTGACAATCTCCCCACCACTGCTGATGGAGGGATCAAGCTACTGACAATCTCCCCACCACTGCTGATGTAGGGATCAAACTACTGACAATCTCCCCATCACTGCTGATGGAGGATCAAACTACTGACAATCTCCCCATCACTGCTGAAGGAGGGATCAACCTACTGACAATCTCCCCACCACTGCTGATGACTGATTTTACGGAGGCCAGATACAAATAAAGAAACACGTTATACGTATCTATAATAATGCAGACTATTACCTTAGCGATGCATATATTCTAAATCATAATTCAATCGATATACCTCGGTTACTTTCGGGCATTGTAATATAGACTCTATTTATTGTTGCCAGGATGTTCGGAAACGGAAGCTGTGGATATATGAGAGCACGGAAAGCCATATTTCAGACAAAGTTGATTGAAGATACAAACGTACATAGTTTATTGAATCGGCTAGTTAACATCTATTTTACATTTACACTCACCTCCGTTGTTTGTGTGTTCTCCTGTTTTTCCAAATCCAAGCCATCCTCCCACTTTCTCGTTTTTCAGCACCCACCTAGCGTCAGGATTCAGATTCTGATAGGTACACATGTCCTTATCGAAGGAACAGCTAGCGTTTCTTATCTTATCAAGTTTAATTGAAGCGCAGGAATTGACCACCGACACAGTTCCAGCATATGGGGATTCTGTTGTAACAGTTTCTATAACGAAGAAATACTACCTCAAGTCTAAGTCAAGATACAAACCAACTTTTTTTTCATTTTTTTACCAACAATTGATTGATGACACATAGGAACAATATAAGATTAAGATATTAGTGATAGTGCAAAAGACACACAAGTGAATGGAATCTTGTCAGATACTTTAGAGCCAAACAATTAATCAAGCTGCATCGTACAGGACTCGTCAGTGATGCTAAGGGCCAAAATTTGAAGTATTTGAGTTTGGAAGATGTCATGGCAAAACTGAAGGCATTAGCGAACGAATTTGATTGGATCCATGGGAACAAAAACTGACCAATCAAATTCTGATGCGCTTTTGTGAAGATCACAAAGGAGCGACACCTTACTTCAAAGTCATTATATTTCCGTTATGGTGTATATCAAAGGATCAAACTAGTTTTTTAGTCTTGTCCACAAGGTGTCGCGATGGAAGCTTCAATTTTACCATGATCATTTTCCGGGGTACCGAGAGAGAAAGTGATTTTATCCCCTGGAGTATCGAGGATGTATTAATAATTTTCAATAAATACATTCAGCATGAATACTTTGAATATAAGTTTGGCATAATATATCTAAGCAATCAAAAGGACGAAAAACTTCAAATATACTACTGCAAATATATTATCATAATGCTATCATATTCCTTAAAAAAGAGCACCAGATGCCTTTACGAAACATAAAGATGTAGATGTTTACAAAGAATAATGCTTGCTTTACAATAAATAAGGTCATCTTGTAAAGATAATTTGGTTCGGGTGGCAGATTTTTATGACGGAATGCACGTTATGTCTGGATTTTGTATTCTGTATAGAATAGAAAGATAACTCAATCAATAGGCTAAGCGAGAAAAAACATAAATGTTTAACCAACAGTTGGTATAACAACTGATGTGGACACGCAATGGTTAGTCCGTGTCTCGTCCACACAGACCGGACGTGGGTACAGCAATTTGTTTACGTGCACCGGAGTCGTGACGTGTAACAACGTACGTTAAATCACCATGAAATAAATAACATCATTGATTTGACATAATTGTCCGGATATTCATGAACAATCAATTTGAAGTACAATAACAAACTCGGATAAGAGATATCATTTAACCTTATCTGTTATGATGTTCCGTGGCCTGTTGTCGTGGGCTTGTTGCTTATACGGAAGTTAAAGCTTAATAAAAAGTTAAAATCAATTTTCTCTTGTTTTGAATTTTTGGTTAATTTTCAGTTAATTATTTAAAATTTCATGTTTTAACTTCTATTATTTCATAAGTGTTAATTAAGATTTGAGTATTGATGACAAAATAACTAATACACTTATTCTATAAAGGATTTACATATAAGATGAATACATATTTCCAAGCTTAATTCACCCTTCTAAAACATGCATTGTTGTTAACCTCTTTCTCAACGGTCTAGGATGCTCTCAGCGATAGATTTCCCGATTTCTTTCTCGATAACGATCGTCTTGGTGCCAATTTCTATATGTTTACCCGATAACCATTGCTTAGATGGTGAATTTACAGATTTTCTCTATTGCGATGCAATACTTTATGATTTTCCATATCCCTTTCTCGATAAAGATGCTCTAGATACGAATTTTCCAGATTTTTGTTCTCGTTTACAATATCATAGACGTTGATTTTCCAGATTGTTTCTCCATTACGATACTTTGCCGAATCATCTTTCATCACAAAGATCGATTTTGTTTCTTTCAAAATTTATCCTCAAAACAATAAAAAAAAATAGCTTTTGTCCAAAATAAATAAAAAAAAAATAATGCAATGTTAACTACAAGATAGAATAATATGATTATGGACCTACCTGGAAGTGTAATTACAAAAAGAGCAATCCATAAAATTGTTACTGTAGACTCCATAGTGATAACTCATCGGACAGGGGTTTTCTGAATGAAACGTAGTAATGTGTGTGATAGAGTTATATATGGATAACGTGCCCGTAGATAGGTCGACTTGCCTAAGCCCGACCCGTCAAATGATAACATCCAAGATTGCATTTCTAGGGCGCACTGATAACATTATGATTATCTTTATTTGTATTCATTTATAAAAGTAAATAGTTTTAATTGATATGCCAATTGTGACTGGGCCAAAATAGAAAGTATGTCACCGGGTCAGAAATAATGGTAATGGTACCACGATAATTCACTCAATGTAAGGGTCAGAACGGTGCTTGTGACCGGAGTCGGAAATCAATTACATGGGATAGCCAAAGCACCAATGACGTATTGATAGGAGCTGTACGATGTTTTCTAGATATTGGCGACCTTCCTCCAAAATGGTATCTGACACACCTCCAGCCAGTTTAATGAGACACACCCCCAAAGAGCCTGAGTGTAATATTTAAATTCTGACTGAATATATCACAGAAAAGGGAATAAATTATGTCTTAAACAAATATTTTAAGGTAATCAAATAATCTAATAAAATCCAAATTTTTGTCAAGTGGCTGAGAATGTCTTTAATGTAGACACTGAAACATTTAAACTTTTTAACACACATCTCATCTCCCTTGCTGCAATTGTCCAGACATGTTTTAACACTGATATGCCATTTTAACAAAATAGAAATAAAACATTGCAATACTTTATGGCAATTTCCTAACATGTTAACTATGATCTGATACATTTTTAGACATATGTATAGACGATTTATAACTTATGTGGTTTCATAAAAAAAATGTTCTGTAACTAAAATTTGCATTTTGTCATTTACAATGCTTGGTAATTGTACTAGTATCACACCAGATGTAATGTTTTAACCAGGTACGGTTTGTCTTGTTTGGAAGGTACATAACTGGGTCAGTACGAGGTCATTCCAAGTATTGGTGACCTGGGTTGGTAAGCAATCAACTAGAATGGACAAAAGTTGATGACGTGTTGATAAGAGCAGCGATTCATTTCCAAACTTTGACAACCTTCCAACACAGTGACCTTCTAATACCCCTTAGTCAGTTAATTGCATAGACACACCTCCAGACATTTCAGTATATGCCAATTACATTAGTATTTTGATTTTAGGAAACATGTATGTATATTGTACAAGAAACGCACCAGTGAATAGCATTCTCAATTCAGAATTAGATACAGTAAATCCAAATAGTGAATGAGACTGCATCACACAGCCATTTTGTTTTTTTAGAACTCGCAAAGAACGCTAAGAGCCTAAATTGTTAAAACATAGAAGGCGACTGAAGAAAACCGAAAAAACGTCAAAAGAGAAGGTCCGCTATCCCGAAAGTGAAATTAATTTCATCATTTTCATTTTTCTTTTAATATTGAATTTTTACAACAAAATGCATGTAAATATTCATGAATATTAAACTACATGTAGTATATGCTAACAGATCTTTATATGTTTTAACAAATTGATAAGCGCAGAGGAATTAAGATCTATTATTTTTTATGAATTTCCATTAACCATAGATGCATTTATAATTTTTTTTTATTTGTATACAATTTCTTTTTGATTTTTTTTTTTTTTTTTTTTCATTTTCGCCTGAAAAAAGAAACAAGCATAAATTCCCTACACTTTAACAAAATGATATTTTGAATACAAATTCACAGAACCAATGCAACACATGGACAAAGAAAATCTCTACAAGAAATCCCTTGAAAAGGTACAAGCGAAATGAGATTTCGTAAATGATGTATTGTCACATTGGTACTGATATGGAACTTTATCGCAGTGGTTTAGTTTTTGTCATGTTCTTTTTTCAGAAAATGGTACTTGATATGAAACAAGTTACTGCAACAAACTAACCCACATATGTATTTCATTGCATATAACTTCTCTTTGAGATCACTCATCAAGTTTCAGTTCTAATAGTCTATGTTATGGTAATTGTGTTCGTTTTGGCAAGGATAATACAACTATATGTACCAACAGCAAGGACCGCAGAGAGTTTCATATCTTTCTTTTAGGTATTTTCACAAAGGCACTGTAAAGGTGATTGAAAAGCTACCAGACGTTAGCAATGATAGAGTGTATGAGAGAGACAAATAACAAAAACATTTGAAATTATCTTAATCTCTTTGTATTTGAAATTCCTATTGATCAGGTCCAATATTTGGCTTTGGTCATTCCAACTTAAGTTGGTCAAGCATATTAATCACGGTGTAAAGATCACCTGAGTACATTTATTTCAGTCACAACAAGTAATTTACCACATTTACCAACCTAGATCATTTAAACTTAAACGACTTTGCCACGTGTCAACATTCTAGATGTTCGACTAAAAACAGATAAATCGTGACCGGATTATAAAAGCCTCTAAACTTTTAAGGATAATATGGCATATTTCCCATGTTCTTGTACTGAACAAATCAAAGGCTTCCTTCAACATAACGTTTTAACATCCATATCATGATACAAATGCAATAATTTTTCTTTCATTTCATGAACACGTCTGAATATTACATTTGTAAAACATCATTCTCAAATAATATCGGGTTACTTACTAAACGTTAAGAACTGAATTCAAATGGGGTTTTCTTTTGGTAATTAAATTGTTTGATACTACTTCCACTGATATACTTATTGTCTTTCCATTTATTTCTGTTACTTTTATCTGCATATTGATTTTATATGATTCTATCCATGTTTGTACTAATAACTAATACGGAATTTACACTTAAAACGCGAAAAATTAACATCAAACAACCAGATTGGTTTTTCATCAAAGAGAATGTCGTGTTACTTTTATAAAATGTTATCTCTAATAAATAGAATATATAAAATAGATGTGCTCGATATGAATTAAAATTGTCACAAATCTTCATCATATATATGAATAGCTAATTATTTGACTCTGCTCTTTTTCTTAATGTATTGAAAGGTATTATTCACGTGTGTGTCTTTTATACAATCTTATACGTGGTATTAAAAAACACAGGGAAAAGACAAGTTTATATCGATCAACTGTTTGTTTATGTTTGTTGAAAGGTAGAACCATTATCACCGGTAATCGTGATAACTCCCATGAGGAAGACTCGTGCGTATCAATCACAAAGGGTCCCATCCTTTTCTTATGGTCTGAGTGGTTTAGTGAAGATAACATATGGTCAGGCAAACGAGGAGTGTCTACCGAAGGTCGAAATCATGTTCCTATCAATATCACGACATTTACATTACTTGAGCTGTCAGAATCTATATGCGTTTATATGTACTACTTAATCAAGGTTTATGTACTAAATATCTTATACATTGTCACATTTAAAATGGTGAATTAGGTTTGATAAATAAATAAAAGTATTAGGCTTTACAAGGTGATTGTACGTGGAGTTGCTTTCTTCTTTGAGTATTTTGTTGAGAGGGGAAAGACGCAGTAGAAACAGTAAAGCATCCGTATTGGTCAGTGTTAAAGAAAATTATTTAAGTATTCCTATTTCTTGTAAAACTTTTACAATTACATATTGGTGGTTAATTGAAAAATTTCAACCTTATTAGATCATCAAATATCAAAGATTGTACTAAAAACACACATGTGAATAACACCTTCCAATACCAATTTAGCATTAGATATAGTAGAGTCAAGTAATGAATTTAACAGTATTATACAACTTCGTCCCTATGTGACTCGTCAGTGATGCTGAGGGCGTGATTTATTAAAACCTAGAAGATGACAGAGGAAAAACAAAATTGATCAACAGAACTGTCAGAGGTTTTATCGGGTTGTGCATAAGTCATATATTATTCAATATTTTTTATAGTTTGCATATACTTGATTATTTTAGAAGAACGCTATCTTTACCGTGTGTGATAGATTTTTGTAAGTGAATTGTGATTTTGTTGAAGTACATGCTTTCTTATTATTTTCATTCACTTTTGAAATAGAATAATTGTAAGTAAAAGTCATTAACCGTGATTAAAACAAATGGATACAAGATAGCAGAAACCCTGTACATGGTTTTGGTTAATTATTTTTCTTATTCACATTAAAGTTTCCGAACAGCGCACTTCTGCACTTAAACAACAGTTGACGCAGTTCCTGCGACAGCCAGTTTTTTTGGTGTTAGTATATTTGATAAGAGAAAAGACAATACCTCCACTTCAACACGGGAAACATGTGAGCTACTCGATTAGATTAATTTTCAAAGTTATTTTTTTTAAACAAAGTGTCTGAGAATATATTTGAGTATACCCATCCGTCACTTAAGTGTCTCGTTTGTTCAGTTCATGGTCAAGATCAGTCTGGCCTTGAAATGGACACCATTTACATGTCTTGTAACCACTTATGTGGGTATATGTCTGTAAGATAGATGTACATACTTCACTGTCAATGCTTTGATGTGTATCTGTCTATGTATCGGTCAAGGTTTGGATGTGTTTATTCATCATGGTCAAGGTTTGATCATTGTCTAACACTAAGTGCTTACGTGATGGTAGCACTTTGCAATAGTGCACATCGGCATCAAAGTTCCTGAAATGGAAGTGAAAAGAAACCACGTTACTATAACAAATTAGTATACCTGTATTGACAATTTACCACTGAACTGTCCAAAATATCTGTTCCGCACTATACTACTAACACTAACAGTTGACAGCCTTTTTAAATCTTATATCACCTGGGTTCGTAATATTTGGGTTAATGACGGTTGTGAGAAAGTTTGCTGACAGCTTATTACAAATCTTCCAATCGCGTGGGTTCGAGAGACGGAGGTCGGTGAAGGTTGTAGGAAAGTTCGATGAAAGACATTAAGGGATATCACATTCCCTAATGTGATATAAAGTTACCAATATCTCTTCCTCGTTAATGAATCAAGTTGTTGCTTTCTTATTAACCATATTTTCATTTTTGGGAACATGACATTACTTGGTAGGATTTATATTTACTTGGCGGGAGAAATCTATGAGGTAT